GTCACGAGTTGCAGCCTGAAAAGGAAAAAACTCGAAGAGTAGATTAAAACCTTACAAAAAGCCACAAAACTGTGCGCGGCTAAAAGGGCTTATCATTAGTGTGTCAGTATATAAATGCGTGTATATGCGTACATTTGTCTTCTGAAGGATAGATGTGAAAAGAGCGGCGTTGAAAAACCATCAAAATTCGAATCAAACTTGCAAGATTTTTGAGAAAAAAAATGGTGGAGACGTGGTGTGTGTCGGTATCAAACCTCTTCAGTTAGGGTGTATATGCGAAAGAGCAAAAGAGTCACTGAAGCATACTGTGTAGAACAAATTCAGCAAAACCAAGAACACGTTGTGGGCGGGGGTACTGGGACGGGGTTTGCAGCAACACACAAGTATGGTGTAGTTAATCAACCTCTTGATCTAGTGTGTCGGAGTTGGTTTGGAAAGTGCCTAATTTGGTTCGAAAAGTGTCCGTTCCAAAATAAAAGTGGGACTTGCCAATTGGCAGGCATTTCTTCACCACTGCAAAACGACCTCACCCACTTTTTCAAAGAAATTTTGCATTTCGTATGATTTTTAGCATCTCGCCTTCACAACCACTTTCTATACATCAAATATACTCGTGAACCGCATTCGTATAGCGAAATACTGAGCTTCGCCCCTTAGCCCGACCCGCATCGAAGAAATATTTGCCATTATTCTCGGCCTTATGGAACTTCTCAGATATTTCACCTCTTCGAACCGGATCAAGCAAGCTAGGACCTCGCTCGTTGCTCGGGCTAAACCAAGCAAAGTTGTGGCTCTAAGCTGGTGCCAGCACCAAAAACCAGTGTCATATTCGTGATCAATGCCCTTAGTTATTCCCACAGGTAAGGTTTCAGAGGAAATAACTCGAAATGCCTCGTGAAAAAGCAACAGTATTCCTGTATATTCCTGTTGGATATTTACCTAATAAAAAGGATTAGAAAACAGAAAACTCACATATAAAAACCAGCGGCAACAACCGAAAGAATTAACTTTTACACAGTAAACCATTTCCACTTTGAGTAAGTTCAGTCCTGGGCGAAAGGCACGCATGACATCGCTATTTTTGCTTGTAGTAACTCAGATATACCTTGAGCATGACACGGCACGAATGGGCACAACAACGTCACATCTACACCGAACTTGCTGCATAGAAAAACTGATGGGACTACTGGAACTGGGAGGAACGCGACAGTCTAACTAAGCCTGCGCGTTCAAGACAGATCATTAGTTGGGATTTTGGTCGGGAGTTCTCAAACCAAATACGACTGCCACACTCAGCCTTGGCAGAGCGAAAAGTATCAGTGAGGGCCGGTACAGCTTCGTCGAGAGCGAGCCGAAAAATCTACTACCGCTCGCTTACATTCCATTGGCTTCAAATTCCTTCGACAATTTCAGTGAGAAATATTGAAGCATTGCGAATCAGACAAATATTTCCGAGAAAGATCCTCACAACCTCCTCAGCAACAATGACCGCAAGAAGCACTTTTATATTACAACAATAAAAACATCTCAGACAAGTAATATGACAAAATACAAAATTTTCGCTATTGACTATAGTGAATTCTTGAAAACACTGAATGTGTGTATCACAAGCTTCTGAATCGGACTATACAGGTTCGCTCACAGTAAACTATCAGTTGGTTTTAATACAGTAACTATATTGGAATGTACTGGGCAACTCACAATTACGAGTTGCCGGCTAGTAGAGTGGCCCAACCGACTGCATCGATTGCTGGCCAGCTGATTCGGCAACAGGGCAAAAATCGCCGAAAAAAGTGAATCATAACGAAAAACGAACGACTTAGCGCACTAGAATAATATTGGTATATCGTCCTCAGCCGCTAGTAAATTTTTCGGCTCGTAATTCTCATGTTCATTCGAATTTTGATATACGTCAACGCCAGCAGCAGCACGTTCTGCAGCTTCAATTTCCTTCTGTTTCTTTTTGTTGGCTTGAATTTTTTTCATCCTGAAATAATCAGAAGGTGAGGCAGCGGAGGTCCTCAAAAATGGACATCTCATCATCTAACTATACTACACTCAGAATCACTTCTACATACCACATCAGTTCGGGATCACTTGCATTTATAACATACTCTTCAAACGAAAGATCAGAAAAGAGAAAAAGCTCTTCTCATTTTCACAATCTGACCCCGGCCCTTCATGGAATAAAAGCAAGAAGTTACCTGAAGAATTCTTCTCTTTCCATTTCGTCCAATTCCGTTACAATGTAATTGATTGTGTTCTCAATTCGAGGAATAATCACTAAAATATGAGAAAATAATAGATAAAAAAATCAGCATTAAAATCTGAGACTTCTCCTACGACACAAATCTTACAGTGCGAGGACAATGAAAAGATAAAAAAAAAAAAAAAAAAAAACACTGAACGGCATTTCGCCTATGGAGTGTATTTCCAAATACTCCTATATGAGGGACTAGCTGGGCTCTGAACATGCGGATTGGCGCTTGTCTCAATTTATTTTCAGCATCCGCAGCCGTCCAATTGGAACCTCTGGGTGCTTTACTCATTTTCAGTTGTGAACTCGAGCAATGAAAAGCAAACCATGAAACATGGAAGGCTAGTGTACTTTACCATCAGGCGACAGTCTCTAGGATCCTGTATGCAAAGGGCTCAGCCGTAAAAGTTGCACGCTGCTTCGAGCCGACGCCAGCAGCAGGCCGCCCTGGGTTAAAAAGAGATAGCATCACCCTGCCATGAGTGGTGTGCTTGCCCATGCTCACAGAGGAACACCTTGGTAATATTTTGTAGTGAGTCTTCCATGTACCTTGCCATCCGATGTAAAGTAATGTTTGATGTTGCACTCCATTAGCGAGCTGTCTTTCTTTATTGCACACCCCCTCCCCCCTATATCGTACAATGAACAGAGATCTACAATATTTCTGAAGAGTGTTTTCAAAGCAGCCGACAATTCTGTCTATAAACATCCCTAGATTTTAGCTCACGAACCGTGTTCAATGGCGTTCACTCTTCTGTTTGTGACTTTAATAGCCTCGTCCAGAGTGATAAAGCACGTTTGAAGAGTGGCTAATTCCACAAGCAGTTCAATAGCCTATAAGCAAGCACCAGGTTATTCACATTATTTCTTGAGCTTAAGAGGTGTCGATTTAACACAATAAGACAACTTTCGCTGAAGAAACAGTATAAAAAAAGCACACTTATTGGTAAAATATCTTCCAAATTTTCCTCCAATTCAGATGACGGTACATTCGCGAACCGTTCCTTAGTGAAAAAATGGGAACGAACTGGTGAATTCCAAAAGATTTCCCATGGGAACATTCCTGGCGACGTTCTCATGAAATGAGAAAGCTGTTCTGTCATCTTACAGTCTATTCTAATTTTCCACTGAACATTGTCGGCACTCGGTCATGGTTAAGCATGATATTGTGAAGCACACCAAGTGTTTGAGTATTGCCATGCACCTATCATTGGTTTTATGACGTCCACAATGTTGCGAAGAAGAAGTTAAAATGGTCTTCTCCCAAATATCAATCTACGAAGGACAGCTGTCTCGGAAAATGAGGAAAAGCAACTACCTTGTTATAATTCTTCTTGAGCTTTGAGATGTTGGCTCCCTCCTTTCCCAAGTCCAGTGAGGTCATAAGCATCGGGGCCCTCTGCAGTAGCTTCGAACACAGGAAGCATTACTCCTGAAGTCATAACATTGGTCAGGAACAAGAAGCAAGAGCATACACAGTATTTCTGAAGCGATCATAGCGCTCTTAAGTCAAAACCTCTGTTAAAAGTCCGCTTCAAAATCTTTTCTGAATGTGATGGAACGAAGTTGCAAAATACTTATTCCAAGGAGGCCAAAGACTCGGAAAGCGCATGAGATTTTTTCATTTCCTTGATAGAGTTGAAAGGGTTCTCGAGCTTTCAATCATAGGGACGGTAGTAGTGTACGAAGGACTGCAATCCTCCAGTATCGTTCCACATAAATGCGTTTCGGGTGACATCGTCGCAATGAAGAGCTCATAAAACAAGTGATAGATCTTTTATAGGGATCCAACAGAGGGGCGAAAATCCTGTGTGGCGTAACCGGGAGACTTGCTACTCTCTCACGCAAACTCGCGTGCTGTTCTGCTTGTACTGGATACCTTTTTGAAAGCAAAGCATCAACAGCAGTCCACTTCGCAAGACAAGATGCGTTTCAACGCTGCTTAAAATCAACAGCGATGCAACTGTATTAGTGCAAAACTTCCTTCTGCATTGCTCACAGAAACTTCGTACACAGAAAGTCTGCGAGCTGGTTTCTGTTACAAAGCTTTCTTCGTTTTTTTTGTATTAAATGGCATTGATGCGAAGAAATTGTAAGCAAGGGTTGCACAGTGGTTGTAGGGTGAGGATCTGCCGGCAAGTTGGAAAAACTAGCACTGCATCATGTGAATTTCAAGGATGGGTCTCTATTTGAAGTGTTCTCGGATATTTTTTTTTGCTTTTTCTTCACTGGAAGTCATCTTTCGGCTATTGCTTTATAACTGAGTACCTACGCCCATGCTCGATCGCAATAATTATCGTCCAAGTGCGGAAGAGCACAACAATGAGCAAGTGTTACTAATCTCTACAGAACCTTCGAATTCACACTGACCTACAACGTTCTCTTTCTTCATGCGAATACGATATTGTGCGCGTGAGACATTTTGAATGACAGTATGTGAAAAGTCTCCGGCTGTGAACTTTGCTTCAGCTAGAGAGAAAGCTGCCTCCTTCATGACCTCACCCATGAGCACTTTGTTCTGAAATAATAATGATCTGGTAGAAGGTTGTAAGGTTTAAAAACTGGAGGATCAAGAAACAATCAAATTCTTAGATAAAACAAGCAACAGGGTTGTTAGAACTTCTGCGAAGTGGAGAGTCCACCAGTCGAACAAACAAAAAAAATGCAATGGCACTTCAAAACTGTTACGAGGATCAGAGAGAATACAAGTGTTCATAATCAAATGCATGAAGCAGTACCTCGACGATCTTCTTCAGAATATCACGGAAACGCATATTCAGGGCATCAGCTTTCTTCTTGAGCAACGAGTGACCTTTCTGTGCGCCCTTCAGACGAGTCTTCATGACCGACTGAGCCCTGAAAACTTCTTTCAATTGGAAGCTATCTCAATATATCACCTGTTTCATTGTTCCCACAAAAAATGTTTTTAAATTCAAAAGAGGGGATCGCGATTTTAAATGGAATACCACACCATGTTTTTCATACAGTCGTCTAAATCTACAGTCCTCTTCATTGCAGACCCACCGGTCTGCAATGAAGAGGACTGTACACTCGGGAATAGTGACGGACCACTTCTTCAAGACAACTATCCATCTTCTGCAGCAACTATATGTCATTCGTTGTGCGACTAGGACGTGCCATTCCTTTCTCGATCGATGGTGACGTTACCTTTCTTTGTTTGGTTTGTTTCACAAACAGTGCTGCGAGCGTTGATAGGAACGAGCTACAAGACAACAAGTCCCGGTTACAAGTTTACAAGTCCCGGGTTTTTTTTTATGTGGTTGCATGACAAAAAAGTTTCAAGCAGCCGCCAAGATGCACGAAGGAACTATTCACTCGCGCAGAGTCGTTTCTAAACCTAGGCTCAAGCAAAACTACCATGCCCCTGAAGTCACAATCATTTGTTCGCATCTTGCATCAAATCTTGTCTCATCTATTTAGGATACTGCCTAAATCATTTTTGGCAAGCAATAGCGCTACGTAAGTCCGGGTATGCTTTGCTTAAAGACACGTGGTACGATCACACATACATAGTACTTACATAGTGTGACTATCAGCCCGCCAGCTGTCGAAGCGTAGCGGTTTCCCTGTCCTAACATGCGCGGGAATGGAGATACAGAAAAGTGAAACACGCTATTCCTCTTCTGCAACATCCCTCAGAGGCCGCGCATTCCCACAAAACATGAAAAAAAAACGGCCCACTCGTTAGTTTAATACAAGCAAAACGCAATTTCCTGATGCGAATAACATTTGAGGTGTTGCTCATGCTTCAAAGTCCGAATAGAAGGTGATGAAGATGACAAAGGCTAGAAATGAAGAACAACGAATGTAGATGTAAATAAAACAAAATTGAAAAAAATTAAGGAAAGCAAATCGGCATAAATTTCTGCGATCCGGCGCGAATTCGGCTCCAAAGCCATAGAAATACTTTAAACTAACGAGTGGGACGCTTAGGCCGTTTTTATTTTCATGTTTTGTGGGAATGCGCGGCCTCCGAGGGATATTGCAGAAGCAGCACAGTTGCTCTTGAGTTCTGGCCCTCGTCATCATCTTCGGTTCTTATTTTGCAGCACCTAAAATGTTATCCGCATCAGGAAATTGCGTTTTACTTGTATTCCAAAGCGCAATTACAGGACTTGGCAAAGTGCCAAGAGAGCCGCACGACACGCGCGCTTACGACGGATGTTAGCATGAACGGGAATCTGCGCCGCAAAAAGGTATTGGGCGGAGCATGGAGGAATTAGCGTGTTTCACGGTCCTGTATCTCCATTCCTGCGCATGTTAGGACGGGGAAACCGCTACGCTTCGACAGCTGGGGGCTGATAGTCACGCACACCCAAACTATGTGTGATCGTACCATGTGTCTTTAAAGACAGCTCCCGCGATAAAAGTCTCATGGATAGCTGCTTTCCAATTATGAAACAGCAGCTGATAAGTAATCTCCCAAAGAAGAAAACAGGCAAGAAGCGTTCTCCAGAACAACATAAACAAAATCGCTCCCTCACAGTTACACCTCCCTGCGGTCTCTGTGCAGCCCCTAGCTCACAAGTCTCTCTATCACATCTCGTTCAGACTTCGCGATCGCGCGATCGCTGTGATCGCGCGATCTGGATCGCGCGATCACTGATCCGTATCTTGTGATCGCCGCGCGAATCGCTACTGTGGGTGAAATTACACCGGGAGGGGTCATGTTCGTTCGTGTTTATTGTTCCTGTTCTTTTTTCCTTTTCCTTCTTTCTTCCTTTGTGTAAACGCCCTCCTAATTTTAAGGAACGTTTCGAAATATCTTTGAGTTATTTATTATTTCCTATGTAAAATAGTACTAAATATACAATATGCTAATTATTATACTGAATTTTGCATCTGAGTACGTTCAAGCGGAGTATTGAACATCTTGTTCCAAAAGTAAGACACGCAGAACTTTCAACAGCGGGTGATGTTGTTTCTCTCCCTTCCCCCGATTTTGCCAGTTCTCCAGATATTCACTTTACTTTTGTCACATTGTGTTGCTTTGTTTGTTCTGCCATCCTCCAGGTCTATACACAACCTTTCCTTTCGACGGTTTCTGCAAACGTCAGTATTGCGAATATGAACACGGAATAAAAGACATCAAAAAAAGGTCGAACTTACTTTTATATCGTTTTTGGAACTGCCTATTGGAGGCAGGATACAGCATCGTGATGTGAGAAATGGTGATATCAGTACGACTCCCCAGAACTTTGTTGTTGTTGTTTGTTGAGTTGAGTTGAACACGAACGAACATGACCCCTCCCGGTGTAATTTCACCCACAGTAGCACGATCGCGCGATCCAGATCGCGCGATCACAGCGATCGCGTACACGTGCGATCCAAATCGCGCGATCCGGATCGCGCAATCGCGAAATCTGAACTCTCTATCACATCTCGCAGTAGTTGATATCATCCAGTGCAAAAGAAAGAATACAAAAAGAAAACAACAAAAACGCAGAGGAAAAACTCTGGGAAGGAAAAAGGAATTTTATCAACACGGTGTCTGAATTTGTGATTACGGTAGCGCACCTTTTGTGCGTCGTGGTTTTGCATCACGAAAATTGCGTCACTCGTGTTTTTTACGCGTTTCACCTCGCGAAATGGGTTGAATTGAATGTATATACCTCCAATGAGTAAACTGTAATGAAGGAGAGCAGAATTATCCAGGGGCATTAGCAATGCCCGCCGCCCCAACTAAGAACAAGTGAGTGGCCTCCGTCGGAGGACATCTAGCAAGTAAAGGCGGTCCGACTGAGGAGGAGTTAGAACTAGCACTTTGAGCGGCTATAGCAGCCTCCACGCTCACAATAGAGTCGCGAAAGGTGAACAGTCTTCTAGCTTGGAGGCTAGACTACTTGCACAGCAAAGGCGACCACGAGCCACTTTGATCGCGGGGGCTGTCTTTAAGAACTAATGAATCCCATTTTATATCCCATACATGCTGATACTAATACTAATAGTTCTGAGCTATGTGGCCGACAAAGGCTGTTCCAAATATGGTCCCAACATTCGTGATTATATCTGCGCTACTCTGATTGTTTTGAAGAGGAAAAGCATGAATGACTTGATAGAATCAGACTTTGCACTGCCTTTCTATGGCATGTGTTACGGTTGTGAGACCCGATTCTGAAAGTGAAGCAGGGCGTGACAGAAGCCTAGATAGGTTGTTCTGGGAGCTTCCAAATTAATTACACGAAAAGTGTCACCTAATAACCCACACAAAGTATCTGTTCTTATCAGATATGGAAAAATGCAAACACACTAAGAAGACTAATGTTGAAATCGCCTTATTCAACACTTTCATTGTACTCTGATTGTAGTCAGAGGCGTCTACATAGTTGTCTGGACTCGCCTGATTTCCGGGTAAGTGACTGTATGAGC